TACTTTCGTTAAGAATGAATATTGAATTGACCGGTCCCCATCGAAAAGGTCCAGGACTTCCGCTACCTGGGGAGTGATCTAGCCGCTGATGATAGCGTGGACCAGGACCGTGGAATTCCGAATAAATGCGGCATAGATGAAGTAGAGGGAGTGCACCGGTATCTCCTGAGATTGCGGTGCTTCAGGATCCTCAAAGGTGTATCGGACAGTGGTAAGGCCCACTATGCCCTACGGCACCGCATGTTGGCCCGTGATTAAAGCCCATGAAGGACAACTCCACTCCGCTGAAACGAGAGGGGCCTGCGGCTGGACGCGGCTCGATCGGGTCAGAATTGAAGACGTCAGGACGGCTGTGCAAAGCCCAGTTCAACTGAAGATGAGAGAGCAGCGCCTGCGATGGTTCGGGCATGTAATAAAAAGACCACAGGGCCATCCGATAAGGGAAGCAATGGAATTCGAGGCTCGAGGTGAGCGACCACGAGGAGCCCCAAAAAAGAGATGGCGGGACGTGATCAAGAAGGACTTTGTCAAAGCTGAGGTGCCGGCTGAAGATGCCGTAGATGGAATGAAATGAACGCCTGACAAGAACAGCGGACCCTGCGACATGCGCGGGAATAACGCTAGGGAGAAGAAGAAGAAGGCGATAGTAGAGTCCTGATACATCTATGTCGCGAGTCGTAGCCTAATGGATCGTCCTTGCTTGGTGGACGCGAGTCATAGCGTTGCCTCCTTTCAGAGCTCTCGTGAAGAAATTTGACCATCAAGGTGGGCACCGTGCTGGTGTTCCTTTAACGTGCTGAGGACAGCCAGTAATGCCCAAAAGTCATCATGGCGTGTCTAGCCCACCTGATCCCTCGGCGCAATTAAAGATATAACTAATCCCCATTTCCAATCCACGGAACTCGGAGTTCCGGACCCTCCTCTGCACTTACTTGTGTCAGGGGGATTTTCGAGCATTACCTTCCCACGGCGCACTGGCGATGCTGTACGCTAATTCGGCGAATTCGAGCGCATGCCTTAGTAGGTAAGACCGCGGTGTGTGGAGGTTTTCAAACAGCTACCCGTTCTAATTTATTGTAATTCGAGATGTGCTGTGGCTCTTTGAGGGTTCAAACGGAAAATGGAAGAAATCCGGCAAGACAGACGGACCACTTACTTCACTGGGATATCGACTTCAGACTCGAGATCGTCCTTCACTTCATACTTCAATTTCAATTTCTCATTTCCGAATTTCATATCCATTATTTTCTCTTCGAAATTAGGTGTTGGGTCTGAAGTGACCTGCAAAAATAGTATTTAGATTGCTGATGTGAATTTTCAGTCGACAGAATGAACCACCTTGAAGAGGTTTTGATTTTTTCTAAGGTAAGCCACAAGGGGCTCACCACTTAACGTTTGGGCCTCCAGTGGAACTTCTTGGACATCTGTGAAAGGATAATTTTCAATTATGTTCCTCCAATAATACAACAATAATCTAGTTTTGAAATAATGACTAACCATCTCTTCTAGATGCTGTGCATAGATAAGTGCAAAGCGTAATCACCAAGTACTTCTGGAACATACAAATATTCCCAATCTGCCGTTCAACCTGAATGTGGAAATCTCTTCGTAGAAAGAAGATCGATGAAGTTACTTACCATAGTTACAAGCGATTTTTGTAGCCTTATCACCTGCTTATATAGGTTTTATCCAGCTGTCACAAGATAATAAGTTGTGGCTATGATAAGAAGAGCGAGAGGAATCTGCACAATAAGACATAAGAAAAGTGAGAACTCATTTTAGTGTATTTTTGGCTCTGATGTAGCTCCGCAATTTGGGTATGAATTCGTTACGATCGGGCGATGCGAAAAGTCAATTCAGCGTATTTTTGGCTCTGATGTACCTCGTCAACTTGAGTCTGAATTCATTTTGATCGGGTGGTGCAGACAGCAAAAATATCAAAAAGAAAGGGCCTGTCAATCAAGGGTCCAATCAAATATGTTCACTTAATTCGGATTGAATGCGTCAGTTTCAATTTCCAAAATTTGAAGGAAAAAGTCGAGCTGGTTTCAAAGCCAAGTTTCTCGTAAGGGACAAGTTGAGTATCAGTAATTCACTACCTTTACATCTGGGACTAAATGCGGCTTTTATTATCAATCACAACTTTGAGCATTTGAAAAGCATTCTGAATAGAATAACTTGATTGATTTATCCGAGATGATTGAGAATAAGAGTTGGGGTTAAGAATTGATTGGGCAAGCACTTAAAGCCTAGACTTTATTATCGGGAGCTGTTGTGTCTATCTTACGTTAGTCCTCATCTGCAGAGTTTTTGAAACATTGCGTCAACGTAAGTGCTCTCTCGCATTGCTATCAGCTAGCTAGAGGAAGAAAATTCTCGCGGCTCCTATATGATAGCGTTTAGTTCCATAAAAACCCCAGAACAATCTAAACAACCCCAACTCGACCCATGCATCCTGCTTTACTTGCAAACGGATTTGAGACAACTAGCTTTTCTTGACAGGCTCCCTTTGCCACTGTCTAGAAGATGTGTTCGTCTATGGCAGCTTTCATAGTCCGTCGGCCGGCCGGCGTGCGAGCCGAGGCAGTGCTAGGGGGGAGGAGGGTTCCCAAGGGCAGCTGATGAACGATGTTTTCGAAAAAGGCTCTGAAGGCCTTGGCAGAGATCCGTCCTCCCTCAACCTCTCCTCGGTTGATAATCACTTTCTTGTAAAGTGGCAGAAATCTGACCGCGAAGTTGTTGTAGAATTCGCACAGCATTCTCACACATTCAGATGAAACATCCTGGTTGCATTAGAACTCAAATACTAATTCTGTCTCGACGGTGTTAAAGGCATTCTTCGAGTCGACGAGCGCAAGAAATACTGACATTCTGAACTCTCACGATATTCCATTGACTCTCGTGTTGGTGCGGTTGTGATGGATTGTGTTGAAACCTCTTCGAAACCCTGTTTGCCCGCACGGTTGTCCTTCAAAGCGTATTCTGTTAATACAGGTAAGCATGACTTTTATGAGAAGTTTCGGCACTATTTACCCCACTTGCCCCACTTTGTCGAGAATGGGCTGGATTTCTATCGAATTTTTTTTCAAGAAGATGAAACCGACTAGAAACTTGCCTAGAAGGGTACTTTGTCCCGTAGAACACGGATAACGAGCTACATTCGTTGTAGCTGACCGACTTTGCTCGTGTGATTGCTACTACATAATACTTTTCTAATGCTTCGACACAGTACTCAACCTCTGTCTAAATGGCCAAAAGCTTATGCTTTTGCATCGTTATTCTTTGTAGTAAGACTATTGCTCGAACATCACCATGTAAAAAGGGTGCGTAAAACTTCGAAGGTGAGCCATTCTCAAGACAATCGAATTCTCATTCAACGTGGTCCCTTCATCTCTTTCGTGTTTGTTGTACAATGTTCTACAGGGTGTCAAAAAATTATTGGCGCCGATTTAAAACAATATATTTAAAACTTCTCAGCTGCGAGAGACGATGGAATTTCTATGCACGCTAGCTAACATTATGTGCTACAACATACTACACTTGCATTTCAAAATATCCCCCATGAGCGCGGATAGAAGTCAAAGTTTGCTATCGACTTGATCGCGTGTGGCACGCAGGTATCCTTCTCTATTTCTTCCCAGCCCTTCTTCGGCCTTTGCATCCTAGCACTCCAAACTGGGGCTGCAAACTCGACAGGTCCTCATCTAATCAGGGACCATTCGTGGAAGTCAAGTGAGTCAAGTTCCGGAAAATAGGATGATCAGTCCTCTTTACCAATGAAGTCGGGCAGCTGCCGTCGGCACCACTCGCGGGCAATCTTTGCTCCGTGGGCTGGAGCAGCGTCCTGCTGGAAGGACTACGAGAAGTTTCAGAAAACGTAGTCGGATCAGGGTTTCATTACTTCCATCAGTGCGCTGTTTGAGTGCTGGCCTTGGTCAGTTCTCAATCCTTCACCGAAGAAACCACGAGCAGCTTACCCTTGCAAGTTGTTTCCTCGAAAAGCAATGTTTCCCTGTCCTTATAGCAACCTTTTTGTAAGATATTACACGCTAAATGTTCTTTCCCGAACGCGAACGTTTTGGTTGTTGAGGGATGGTTTTATCGTAAAAATTTTTTTGGTCAGAGAAAACGGCGAAGGGTTGCGTGTCATCACTCATGTGGGTCTGCGACTTTCTGCATTTTTTTGGCCCTGCAGTGTCTGTTGAGAACGGAATTGAAGCGAAACTTCTGCATACGATTGTAATGGCAATGAAGCTTCTGCACGATATTCTTCCATCGCGATAACTCCTACAAGCCGTGCCCGTTGACTTCCTTTTGATGGGTCACCCAAAATCCCGACCGATTGACAGACGAACCATTTTAATAGTCCTCTCTTCGGAAACATTCTCCCTTTCTACCTTTTATGGTTTGTCTCTGATTCAATCTCCTTTTTTATATGGTTTACTAGCCTCCTACACGGTTATTATAGAATTCCCAGAGAATTTAATAATGCCCTTCAACCTCTCGCGTGTCAATGGTTGCAAGTGGTATTGAATGAACCTCCTCCACATAAAGATATTGGGAGTTCCACATCAGTAACCATACATATTGCAAGGAATGCAACTGATTAATAACAGGTAATGTGAATTTGATGAATTATTTCTACCTTAGAAATTTTTGAACTCTGGCGCTAATAAGTTTGGGACACCGTGTATATTCCTGGGCTATTACGGCCCTCGCAAAACAAATGCTGTAATATGTACATGCTCATCCTTTTTTGATGACCCACTCTGAGCACTCGTATGTACTCGACCGTCTTATAGACATCCTCAGACGGCCTATTTCGACTCCGCACAGTACAACTGAACGCAGCATTTTGCGAATAGATTTCAAGGGCTTTTTTGAAGTCCAATTCTGCATGCAATGATTTTTATTCAGTTTGCACCAGCTTAGTACAATTTTAAAGACTTTCTACGTCGACAATTCCGGCGGCTACAGTTTCTTCAATTCCACAGTCGTCAATTCCTCGAATTATGCGGAAGTATCCTGAAAAGTAACTCTTGATCATATCATTGGTCTCCCTTTCCCTCAATCTAAAAAGAGACAAAGGTGGCATGTATCTGTTGGTTCTGCGATCATGAGACAATAGCTAACACTAAGCGCCCATATATTTATGGGCGCTTAGTGTTATGAATATAGATTGTGTTGTGAATATAGATTTAACCCAGTTGTTTCAGGAGACTCACCATTTTCTCCCCAATCGTTATGCCAAGAATTGGCAATAAGCCAATATTTTGTATTTGTTTTGCTATCCACTCCCCATCCCATCATTTTCACTGCATGGTAACCTCGTAGCGCACCAGCAGTATGCTGTAATCATCCACTACTGCTATTCTGTTTTCTTTTCACGCAAAAATATAGCTAAAAATTTGTTGAGTCCCACCTTATAGACTCCTGTTTTGTAACGCGAAAAATCTTCATAGACGGCAAACGAGGCCACAACCGGTCCATTCTTAAGTATTTCCCTTTGGATAGCTTCTTCTCTTGGCGCTACGAGGTAGGCGNNNCTTACCATGAAACGGCAGACGACGAGATAGCAGTTATTCAACCACAGAAAGGCCGAAGCCAATGAGCTTCTTGTTAATTATACTTTCAACAACTGAATACTTGACTAAAGGGCAAATACCGTAGAACTTCTTCTTGGTTCAGGTGAGCGATCTGATATCAGATGTGAACAATAACAGAGGAGAAAATGTCAGCGATAGAGAGTGCTGACTTGGGGTATACCGTCCAAATATGCTCTCTTTCAATGAGTGTACACTATGTGCTTCCACTACCTATTGAAAACTGGTGCTATAGGCCTCTTTCATAGTCCGCCGGCCGACGTGCCGGCGTGCCGGAGTGCCAGCCGAGGTAGTGCTAGGGGCGAGGAGGGAGGCAGACGGCCGGTCGACGCGTTCGCGTCGCGCCCAAGCCCATTCGAAGGGCTGAAATTAAGGAGAAACAAGATCAAAAACAATTTGCATAAGCCCCTGGATGTTTGGTTTTTAATCTTGTTTTCCTTTGTTTTCAGCCCTTCGAAGGGGCTTGGGCGACCGCGTCGACCGACCGTCTGCCTCCGTCCTCCCCCTAGCACTACCTCGACTGGCACGTTGGCGGACTATGAAAGCAGCCATACGAATTACAGTACGTGGTAGGCTCAACGCAGATATTGTAGAACACAGAGCTGCAACTGACAACTTTGTTGCAGGGACTTTTCCCTCCGCCCTAGTGACGTGTTACTATTGCCCAAGTGACCTGCTCCGACTAGTAGCTACATATTTAATAATATGTTGTTACATTTCTTCAAACTCGCTAGGTAAGAGCTCTCACGCTTACCTCGTCGTTTGTCCATCCTGAAGATTTTTTTGTAACCAGGTTGGCATTTCTTTTTACACAATGGAGTTGGCGCCGGTCTAGGACATTCGCCATAGTAAGTTTCGTTTCCGTGACGTCCACATGGATGAATCGGATAGGGACGGCAGACACCCTGGTGTTAAAACCACATGGGTAAATATCTAGGCAGTTATATTGGGAATTGGTAACTATCTACTTTTGTGAGGTATTCTCCTCCAGAAACAACTCCTTCGTAAACGAAGTACTGCCAAGCTCTGATGGACCAGCCTCCCTCGCACCTTAATAAGCGGACTATTTAGTTGAGAATGGTTCCGGGAGTCGTAATCTCAAGATCTCACCCAAAACCACATTCTGGATTGCAGCATGTCAAAATGTCAGTGGAAGAAATGTTCACCTGAATTTTGTACATTTAAGTCAACGATTGCTTATAATATTACGGATTAGTTTGCACCTGTTTTTCACCATTGGTCGCAATACAAATACGATCCGAGATCGCGGCTGCCGTGGACACAGCCCAGCATGAGCCTAAAAATCTAATTCATTGTACTTTTTTCCAGTCATTGATACTTTTTTGAGTTTGAGCTCACCGCAGTTTGCTTGATCACGGATATAGAATGTAGAGCACTTGTATTTCTCTCGAGGATCGTAGCTGTAAATCTATTCTTTTTACCTTTACTGTGGTGGGCATAGTAAAGAGAATGATTTTCTATTTTTCGGCGGACAGATTACATGAGGCTTGCACACTCTGTTTCCCTTCGGAGTGATCTTTTGCTTTTTTGTGTCCGTATTTTATCAAGGCGCATATGAAAGTAAATTTGTTTCTGGGAAAAGAGCCATTACCAGGTTGACGCTTGCGCTGTAATCTAACCTGAAGTTTTTCCAACTAGTCGGCTGTACCGCACATCATGTGTGGAATAGAATAAGTGTTTTTTGTTCGGGTGGTTATTTTGTTTGGAAGGACCGCTCTATTGCTAGATACATGAATATCTTTTTATTCATTTATTTAGTTATTTATTCACTTATATAACATTATGTTAAACTGAAAAAATAGCTGTGCTTTTCTGTGAATCTATGTAGAAGCATTACATGGGTACTTGGAATAAGAGGCACTTATTGAGATGATCTTTCATGCTGCGTAGCATTCGATTAACCCTTCGATAAGTATGAAGAATGAGTTTGCCAATGAAGTCGATTGATGATGCTAGACTATAGTTGGCTGTGCACGGGAATTGCGTGGCTGGCTTACAAGCAAGCGTATTATCTCCAGCGTCACTCCGAATATCAGCGTAGGGCATACTTTCGAGCAAGGATCAGGTATTATGCTCTTGCCGAACTGAGTTACCCACCTGTGAGGTCTATAGTTCAATTTCCTTTACTAAATGATATACTGTGATCCACAGTTACCCTTGCTGGAAATTTGTTCCCGCCTTCCCCTTCATGTCTGCCCGATCTTGCGAGTCTCGGATGTCAGGGACGGTGTACTAGAGCCCTCGACTTTGGCCAGACAAAGTTGCGCTGTATGTCACAGTTCCAACAATGAACATTATTGGAGAACATCTTCAAAGTTGTGTTCAACAGTATAGAGCAGTGTGAACTTTGGAAAATGCGGTGTGATCGTAACTTTCTAGAACCGTGGAGCCAATCGTATCTACTCAAAATGTTACTGCTCATTCTTGATTAGTGTGACTTCGATTGACTCATTCGAAGATGCCAAAAACCTCGTCCAAATACAATCAGCTAAACGACTTGGGAGGGATCCTGATTACAAATGGTAATCTGAAACCTGCACCCACATTAACTTCGGAAAATTGTGCTGTAAAGCTTGGTAGGCAAAGCTATGATGACTTCATGATTCACGACGAGACTTCACTCTCACGCAATGATAACAAATTACATGGTTGATGAGACAAACAAAAGATCGAAGATGGAAAAACGACCATGTTCTCAGAGGAGTAGTGACCTCGGGTTGTCTAACCTCGGCCGTACACATTCCAGCTGGCTTATTCGATTGACAAGAGAATCCTCAAGAGTCAGCCATTCCAATAGACTATGCTGTGTAGAGATATTTAGCGTCATGCAACGGAGGATTCTCTTACGTGCGATTTAAGTGAGCCGCTGGGAATTAGGCACTCAGCCTGCTATAGCCTAAGATCCATCGACTTTCCACTTGCTTCGAATAACCTTCGCACCTTGAAAGTGTCTCTTAAAATCTAGCTATTTCAAGGTAGACTTTCTCCAAAGTTCAAGCGTTTTGTAGAACTTGACGAGCTGATCTTACCAGTGAGCGTTTTTTGCGAGGTTTCCAGGTTTTCCATCTATAGGCAGTGGATCTCATTGAGGTAATCTAATCCAGAAACATCTACTAGCTTCGAATTACGACATTACGGTTGAGGCAGAGTTCGGTAGGGAAGAGCTATACCGTCAGTGTCTAGTGAATTTGACTTGAGCCGAATCATACCACCCGCCGTTCTATTAAAAGAGTAGACGAAATATGGATAATATAATAATAAGCACCTGAATGCTGTGAATCGATACAGAGTATGAAATAAATCTAGAAAGGTTTTCTAATATCAATCCGTTTTGACTTTTTTTATAACTCAAGATGTGCCGATGTTCTTTCAGGAGTCAAATTTGAGAACGATGAAGTGTCACCTGATTTACCTCTCCGGAAGTTTTTCTTCAGGCTCAGGATCATCCTTGACAACAAGGTTCAATTTCTGATTTTTGAATTTTATATCCATTATTTTTTGTTCAAAATTAGGTGTTGGTTCTGAGTTGACCTGTAAAAAGAAAGATCTTCAAGATTCAGAAATTTTAGCGAAAAATGAATCACCTCAAAGAGGTTCTGATTCTTTCTGAGGTAAGCCACAAGAGGCTCACCAGTTAGCGTTTGCGCTTCCGGAGGAATTCCTTGGGCAGCTGAACGAGAAAAAACTTCAAAAATGATTAGCTCTTGGCTAAGAATTGTTACCAACCATTTATACTTGCTCCTGATGCTGCACACAGACAGGCGCAAAGCGTAAGTACCAAGTACCTCTGGAACATGCATGCTTTGCCAGTCTGTCATTCAATTAAAACAAGAAAAGCTCATTGGCTAGAAAGCAGGTCAAGTAAGAAACTCACCATGTTCACAAGCGATTATTGCTGTGTCAGCTTCTTCTTATATTTGTTTTCATCAGCTGTCATCAGATAATTGGCTCTGGCTATGATAAGCAGTGTACGAGTGGAATCTGTAGAAGAAAAGCTATAACGAGGAAAAATCTGATAGCGTTCACTGCGTGGTTTGGCTCTGGAGACTATTTTAGTTTAGGGCTGATTTCATCCGTATGAGATGTGCAACTCCAATAAGCTGTCAACCCAGATAAGTTCGTCCCACGAGTGGGAGCTTCGAGGAGGACTTCCTCTCACTGTATCTGTTGTATTTTTCTATCCTGTATCAAGTGCACATTGGGTAGCACCGATTTGAAAGACGGTTGAAGTGTGGTTCTTACGGTTTAAGACATGAATCGGATAGTAGTTCCAGATATTTGTTCATTATAGCATTCGAGATAGTTTAATCGAAGAAAAACGACCCAGGGTTTCGCTAAACATTTAGAATTCTAGCCTCATGACCGAGAATCGATATTCCTTTGTCTATCGGTTCTGTATTACCTTAACCGTCGTCGTCAGAGTTTTTGAGTTATTGCATCAATGTGAGTGTTCTCTAGCATTATTATCAGTCATGTAGATAAAATGTGCCTCGACTTCTCACGTATTACTGTATTTGGTGTCACCGAAAATGGATCAAACACCTTTCCACACAAATACTTTCACTTGGCTTAAACCTGCCTACCTCGATGCTAAGCAGGAGTTACGAGGGAATGACTTTCTGTAAGCATTTTTGATGGGTTAACAAGAGGTTCTGTCCAATGAAATGGGTGTTTCCTCGTCTATCATAGTTCAGAAGATAGCTAGTTTTGGGTTACAAACAGTGAAAAGGACTGTGAAGTAGCAGTATTCGGGAGAAGCTTCTAGAAAATCAGGTGACAAATTTGCTGCTGCCGCCTTCCGTGAGAATTTGGGGAGAAGCGTTGTCATGTGGGATGGACATAGGCTGTTATTGCTTCTATGACTGAGTCAAGTTGAGAATTTTCTTCATGAGAAGATTGACAAACAAAATTCTACAATATGGAGGTGCATGATTGAGAACCAACCTCATATTTTCATGGACGAATGTCGAAATCATGCTAGATCCTGCTTTTTCTGTGTTGAATTCATAGTGCCTGCTCAGCGCTTCTGCTTTCGGTGAAGTTTACGGAGTTTCTAGAATTGGTTCTAATCAAAGAACAATATAAAGCGTATACCTACATATGCCAGTTCAATTGAGAAGAATTATGGAGACAAAGCTTACAAATCCGCCAGAAATGTGGTGGTCACTCGGACTAAAAAAGCTCCCGATGCAAGAGACATAGCCAGGTAATCATTTGGACCAGAGAATTGAGAATTACTTCAACTAGAAATTAGAGCTAGACGAGCTAATTCACCATCGCTAAAACTGCTTACAACTGCGCCAACCGTCGCTTATATTGGTGTGATCAGCGATCCAGTTTTTAGATAGGTAAATCTACTTATGTGCGTTGATTGAAGGACTGGTATTAACTTTGATAAGCAGCGAATGGATAAAAAGCCACGAAAATGTCATTGAAGTCAGTTGTTTTTCAGCTACTTATGCACTTTGCTTTCAGAATCTGCTTTCGGGAAAGAAGCTCGCCCTGAGCACCCTTCCCGGAGAGAATTCGTGATGGACGACACATCTCAAATCCTGGTCCTGGTTTCTTTCGCTGTCTTCGGGTAAACGCCGGACCCTCTGAGCGGACGAGGGTGTATGAGCTATAATTTGCTGGTTAGTTCGCTTACTTGCTGGTTAGTTCGCTTACTTGCTGGTTAGTTCGCTTGAACGAAGAAGCCTGTCACATGTTTCATTGCCTATTTGAGGCTTCCGAAGAATTTAAAGAAATTATCTCTCTTATTATCTCTCTTATTATAAGAATAACAGGGAAAAACCAAGGCAGTATATTCCCTCGGTCTAGTTACCTTACCGATGGCAGGTTCAAAATAATTGGTGTAGGAACACACCTCTAGGCGTCCCTACCTTATATGAGCTGTATTGGGCGCTTTCAGACTTCAATGACGTAACCGACAAGCGTGCGTCCGAGCTCCTGTCGGGGCGCGCGTCCAATAATGGTGACGCTAGCCACTTATTGATAACACTGGCGCGTGATCTATCGGTGACCAGCGTTGTCATCACGTAGCCAACAACATCTGTCGGATGCGCGCTCGTCGGTTGCGCCGTTGAAGTCTGACAGCAGCCATACTCCGCATAGTGGCCAAGAAAATGTTTTTCACTGTATTCAAACTGATTTTATGATATGGTAATGAAAGCAACTCCCTATTCCGTTCCACACACTCCAAACACGTCAGAAGAGATAATGAGCTTCATGGCCATCTATCGCAGTGCCCACTGGTAACTTACCTTACCTAGGGGGTGTTGATTTCAGCAAGAGTACATCTGACTCACGAAGGACCTTCTTAGCGAACTCAGTGGCTTGTGAGATAAGTGGTCACGTATGAAAAAGAGCAGATCGAACGTTGAACCCTCCAGTCCCCAAAAAACTTTGATAACGGGCACTACGCTCTTCAAGCGACGCGACGAAAAGGAGGAATTTCTGCAAAGACTGAGCAAAATCGTCGGTACTCATCCGTTCATCCTCATCCAGTAGTCGCCTCGTCATGACTTCGTTTGGTGAAGCAAATCCTTTGTTCCTTTACCGGACATTTTTGCCATATCACCAGTTATAGAAAAATGGCACGCCGCAAACATATCATACAATCGTTTTACCAATACGGAACCATTTTGATTTCTAATTAATGACAGAGACACGCTTCTCGTCCTTGCTACCGATTCGAACGCCGACAAAGTGCTTTCTTTGTAAACGATTATCTAGATCGGAAAATTTGAAAACCCTAGGTCGATGCAAGCCTTACCTATCGCTCGTGGCATCGCAGTGGATAGACCGCATGTCTCCATTTTTAGCCTACACTAACTTTTGCGCCCTTCTCCCCTAGTTCTTTGGGATCTTTGCGATAAGGAACACTCACTTTCACCGTAAACTCTTCTGTGAAAATCCATCAGGTTTAGCCTCGGAACATTCATCTCACAATCAGCCAATCCAACGTTATTTTTTGAATCGTTAGACAAAGCCTTGGTGTTTTCACCCACTAAGTCATGGCACGGTAAGATATCGGTAGCATCATAAAATGTTACTGTAATTATCAACGATTGTTGAATTTTTTTTCTTCCTGGATCTAGTTCTGCAGCAAGTGAATCACTTGGTTGTCGACTCTGCAACCGATGCAAGAATCGACTGTAAAATGAAATCTTGCTCAGTCGACTTATCAATGTCGTTCTATTTTTTATTGCCCGAAGAATCGTTGCTTCGTTATCTGCATCACTTACTCAGGAAAGTGGAATTAAGTACCAACGGTTTCCACGATGAAAGTTCTCCCGATAGATACGCAGGCACTCGCTGGCGTGATCAGAGTAGATCGCTTCCATGGTAGGTACGGCTGAGGATTTCGACCCATTCCAATGCAAAGGACACTATTTGTCTTAGTATAGCCCTTGTGGGAATGCCATACTTTTCGTTCTACTTTGCTTCATGCAAATATGAACTTTCCCGAGTACTTCAGAAACTATCAGTGCTGAGAAGGCACCATTTGCTTGTTATCCTTTTTAAAAAGGGCCAACATTTACCAACACAGTTGTCAGTGCTATTTTTAAAAACCACATAAAGAAGGCGGAGGTGGTGTAGCGCAAGTAGCGCACTACCCCAGGGGTTCGAATCCAGGATCGATATCCGCGTAAGCCAACCAAGCGTTCCATCCGTCCGGGGTGGGTTAATTTTTACCACACTCGTCTGGGAGGGTAAAAGCACTGATTTGTACATCGGCTGGCCACCGCAAGTCATTGTATAGGCCACATACGCACTAATTACGCCACTACGATCCTGAGTGGAAGTCGAGTGCGTGGGCGCATTCCTCAGACGGGATTGATTAACGCCAAAAGCTTTATCCTTTCCCTTTTTAACATCGAGAAGGCTGCATGTGCAGTGTGCTCAAAACAGGGCCGTTCACCGTAATCCCTCGCTTGGGGTGCTACCTCACTGAAGGATCCCTATCCGGTTGGTGACAAGTTTACGTGGCGTGACCCCAGGCTATGAGTGAGGGAATGAATCGCGGACCAAAGCTCACCTGTACCTGCTCAGAAGTGCCGGTGGATTTAGGAAATGGGCTCTCTGATTCTTTTGCCTTGACTCGACTTATGCCTTCTGCTTCCTCGACGATCTGACCATGCAAGCGTTTGTGGATAGTCTCCGGGTACAATTGGTATCCCACACAGCGGCTCAGCCAAAAGCCTCCATTTGAGTGGCTTGGAAATAATCTGGTAGGTAATTCGAGGAAACCTCAAGAAATTAATCCCCAGTACACTCTGACATAGCTTAACTAGCTACACAGACTCTAATCAGCCCCATATCAGAACCTGGAACTAGGGATATCCATGTGCCAAAGACAGTAAAATAAGTTGGCCTCATTGTCCTAAATCTGAGGAAGCTCCCAACACGGTTGAACCGCTTTGGAAAGGCTATTAAGGTCTGAGGGCCTGCTCGAAAAGAGAATAACTAAATTGGCGATCTGTACTTTCAATACCTGACGCTTGTTTTGAAAGCGCGCATAGAAGATCAGATGATGCAAGCTGGGATGATCAAGACGACATCATAGGACTGACCAAGACGAGAAGGCATCGCCCGCTGCACGTTGTATTTGAGACAGCAGTAGAAGTAATTCCTTGGAACAATAGAGGCGTCTGCAGTTAGGTGTTCCCGTCAATGTTCATTGGCCACCGATTCGTAAAAAAGCTTGATAACTCTACTTAAACATTTGCGATTGAGAAGATTTGGCTCAACCCCAGCTCTAAAAACTTTTTTCTTAGCACCAACAACTGGCCTCGAAGGAGAGGAGCTGGTAGCGTTTCAAATGGGCAAAAAAGGACCCTCCCCCACTTTCTTCAGAGTCATCGTCGAGGTTTTAACGCTGGGCTATGAAATAAGCTGGGCTAGGCTGAAGAGCTATTGGGACCCACGGAGCTTAACAAAATAAGCGAGGTAGGGCGGTCCGAGTTCATCATGTCGGCAAACACCATCCATGGTAATCCGCGGATGCCTCTGAATCGTGATAGACTTGGGAGTCAGTTTATGGACAGTTCAAGATGAAGATGTTGATGGTGATCAGGGATGACCATTTGGAAGTTTTGCCCGGCTGATGTCGTTTCAAAATTCTGCACGAAATGGAGCAATGCCTTTTTAATGCGTGGAGAGAGCTGTGAAGTTCGGGAAACAACACCTGAAGATCGTCGTGAATAGGAATCGCTTTTGCTTCCCTTACAAGTTTCAAGGGAAGGTCCCGTTATCGGCAACATCGATGAAGGATAGAACCGGCTTTTGAAACATCTTTACGATATTGCAAAGTGTTGGGGTACCGCTGGGTACTCATGTTGGGGACGAGGGTGGGTACCCAGCGGTGTTGGGGTACCGCTTCGTACCACCCTCCTCGGCTTGCGCCGACGGCACCGGTAACATACCCGGTATTAACCCCCTCTCATTGCTCCGCAATGACATCTTCAAAACGGCAATCGATGACAACGACGATGACAAAGCACAGATACGAGATAGCCTGTCGATATCACGCCTTGAAATTCAGAAATCACACCGTTTAAATGATGCAGATTTATTACAAAATCCGAGATGGCGGTATGAGGCAGATTTGTAACAAAACCTGAGTAATGGATAATAATGAGTTTCACGTGATAGAGGTAAATGGATAAGTGAATTCAATGAGCTTCTGCCGAGCTAGCTACCTTAAGTAGCTCCCCCTCTAGGTTACTTAAGAAGATCAGGCAAACCGCCAGATATCCCAGTCCTATCGGCCGGTTGCCTTCGCAACCCTTTTCTTGACTTCAGAGTGCCCCTGTGGTCCTCGATGGTAAAAACGACCACGCCTTGGGGATCACGCCCCCTCTGCGACCCCTCTCGGTCCCTCCTCGGGGAGTCTCCTCTTATACGGCTCAAGGCTCAAATACGGCATACGAAATTTCAACGTCGAATGAAGAATTTGCTTGCACTGGTACCTGTGTAGAATCGAGGCTGTGACGTGGTTTTGCCTTCAATCGCGAACAACGGATGACTCTTGTTGCTCGCTTCGGCTTTCCTAGGCAACAGAATCTTGATTCTCTGTGCCAAACTAGGTCTCTGCTCAATGGTCTCTTCCGCAAGATCCCTCAACATGTCGACGCCTTTGCCCCACTCGAAATCATCGTGCGGCCCTGGCAAGTGTACTAGTTCAGCGCCTAACGCCACCACTGAGAGAATCAACTCCCAAGACTTGGTCCACGATCGAGTGCCTGCATAATACATCGAACTAAATACAACAACCGCCGACCATTGGCCAACGAACCATTCCGCCTTGATCGACTGCGGATTCATGTACGCATACGCGACCTGACGCTCACTCGAAATGTGCGCAACATGGGTGTAAAACCCTTCCGGCAGAAGAATCAGCGTCTTTAAACGAGGGAGCTCTCTTTCCATAGTTTCTTGTTCCAGAGATGTGCGAACGACCACTTCTGCGCCTCATCGAACAGCTTTGCCAAATCGAAGGGGTTCTCCGAATGCCGTTGCGGGTGCGCCGCCTTTTCCTGAGCCACATTTGGAGCCAACATGCGACGAGAATACGCCGCCAAATGAAGGCATTGCGCACTGGAGAACGAGTTCGCAAATCCTAGAGACGACGGTGATAGAGTAATATACTCTGTATCAGCAATAGTGGCAGTACGCCATCCTGCGGGTACATGGGTCTGACGAAAAATCGTTACTGCACGGCTTAACTCAAAAATCGAATCAAAAATCAGGGTTCCGGCAACGGTGGTTCTCTTACGATATTCGACCATTCCACCGCCACGTGACACGCCAAATACTGTTCTCCATGCGCCATCACACCAGGGCAACCCTTATCCGTTCCGATTTCCGTCACCGTTGCTGAATTAGACGTAACAGCGATAACTCTGTACGGTCCACTCCACGGCACGGTCAGCTTGGGGTGCTTCGACGCCCCTTTTTCGGCGGGTACGTGGACATATACACGATCCTCTATCTTGAACTTAGTCGACTTTTCAGTCTTCCAGTGGCGATCGTAACAATCTTTAGCCCTAGCTCTGTACTTTTCCCCTTGTTCCACTATACACTCTCGTGCAAGCTTCAGCCCGCTCAAGTATTCCGTCATGCACTGGTCATAGTCGAG